CGCATATTCTGCACCACTTCATTAGCTTAATGCTCTTCATGGAAGAAATCTTGTTCAAAAACCCCCTCTTCCATGGCTCTCATCTCTTACGTAGGCAAGGACAAAGGCATGATATTTGATAGCTGGAGGTAAACTTTTTAAACCCATGTATTAAGCAAAAGCTAGGAGCTCTTATCTGATGAGGAATGAACTCTCGATGCCACTATGTTAGGCTGTCAAGTCGATGAGAATGCAGCAATCCTTCGCCGAGACTGCCTTGAAATAAAGGCGAAATGCATTTCGAGTGGCTCGATAAAATAGCCTTTTAGTTGTGCCCAAAGAGATGATATCAGTCTATTAACATTAAAATTTTTAGGGTAGTAAATTTTATGAAAAGTTTAGCAGCAGAATCCTACTCGGTAACAACAATATCAACAGGTTGTCATAAACTGCTTACGATGCAGACATTTGTGACAACTGGGATCACACTTAAATCGCCCCTATTAAGCTGTCAAGCGTAAAAAAGAAATTAAAATACTTCATCATGGCAAGTAGAAGGCGTCATTGCCTGTTATCATCTGCAGACCTCCGACCTAATTATCTGGCTGGTCCTTCAGCGTCAGTCGATGTGCAATAGGAGTAATAGCACCCTCTGAATGAATTTTATTCTTTCCCGCTTCGCGCGTAAACTATAAGGGGAGGTATTTCCCTGATATTAAACGTGCTTGACATGGGGACTTGGTGCGCAAAAATCTACTTCTTTATATCGTTGTAACACACCAAGAGCAACGGAGCATAACCTTTGATGAGTTGCTCACCATCGAGTAGAGACCGTCAAAATAAGTGCGAAAATACGTCAGTGAATGAGTCAATAGTCCTTTCTGCTTTTTTACATGCGTTTGCGCGCGCAATCTTCCGCAAATGTGATGCTGTGCTCCTCCATCAATGGCAGAAGCAATTTCCGCTTCGTTATGTCGCCACATTTAAACAATTTAAAGGCTTAACCTCTCTTAATCTAGTGATTTGATTAGGTAAATTAAAGTCTAGATTCTCATTCTAGATTACTCAATAGTCCGTATACCTCACGAATTCATCACCGATCTGTACAGCCCAAACGACCTTCAAGGCAACCAATGACGTGTTGGGATTTGGCGATTCAGTGGGTCTAGCATAGCCACGTGGAGTCAAATTTTTCACCTACAAGTGTAATAATCATCAGAAAAATTTGTTTTTCCATTATTTCTGACTCTGAGAGCAATCTCTTGTGCACTTTCTGTAAGGTGTACCATCGTGGGAATTAGGCGAGTGTGTGCGTGTGCGCAAACTTGCTCACAGAGGGTTGTGAAAATATTTTCTTGTCACTTTTGTGCATTGATTTCGTGGATTTTAGAGAAATCAGTTCACTGTGCCCAATTATTTCGCACTAATACCTCTGATTCCATAGTTTGGCAGATTTTGACTTCAAGTTTGGATTTCTGAAATGAGAAAGTTCCATGCCTGTAATTAAAATACTGTAAATTAAAGAAAGGTAGAGAATTTTTAGTTCTCTTATAGGAAAGTTCATTAATAAACTTTAAAGACCCGTGTAGTCTCTAACTTAGTTCCCTTAATAAACTGGTATTCCCAGCTGAGAAAAAAGGAATCAGGTTGTCTCTTGTTGCTGCTTAACTCTTCTGCTAATTGCAGGGAAACCGGTCACCTTTACCAGATTCCATGAGGAAATGGGTTTTGTTCGCCTTGAAGCAGAACAATTCCCCGAAACGCAATGGTAGGCCAATGATGGAATTTTTCGTGTCCATTCAAGCCATTCAAAACAGCTACTTCGCCTCAATCCCTGGGGTGGACTAGTAAGCTCAAAATTAACTAATCCAAGGTTTCACTTTAAAAGCCAATTTTGCGCACGGTGAACTCGTGATCACAATAAATTGGTAATTTAAATGAGACTGATGCTTTTTTGCCTAATTTAAATAACTATCATAAAACCAGCATAAAATTGGTCATTTTATTGCTTACTCTACTAAATTTCATTTTCCAAGTTCCTCGTAAATCACCCAAAATCTGCCTATTATGCAATATTGTGTTTGGGGAAAAAATTCCCTCATCCTTCTGGCAAAAATTTGAGTAACTATCCTTGCAGCATCTTCTCTACGCCTAGTTACCATAAAGTTGCCACTTTCTGATCATGCCAAATGGATAATGCTAAACCACCCTCACCAATAGACAAAGAGTTGGTGAAATTGCCAAAAGCACTACCCATAATGCATGAAAGGTGGGTGTAAATTCTCCCTAGGGCAGCGTCTGAGAAAGCTCCAAAGAGGCACCACTGACTCTTGAAGTTGGCTTGGTTACATGACTCAGAGGAGGCACAGTGAGGTTATGCACACGCGCACATGCTTGCACCCACGTGCGCATGCGTGCTGAGCTTGAGACGCCGTCTGATTCGCAAATTACGCCGATGACATTCACGTTGGCACCTTCCTTCGCCCATTGGTGAAATCGATCGGAGGAGCTATAAATAGCCTAGATGCGCACAACCGGTGCTATTTGCTTTCGCCAGTTCTATCAGTGCTACAGACCCAACCACCATGTCGCGAAGTGAGGTCGAAGTGCTCAAGTCTGACATGCCAACAGAGATGAAGAATTTCATCATAGATCAGGTGGATGATACTCTGCGTGAGTACAATGCCGACTCTAGCCGCCCTATCAAGTTAGAATCACTTGTGACTCAACTGGGCCGAACTCTCAAGCAGCGCTATGAGGGCGTGTGGCAGGTGGTCATTCTCACAGGCTCCTACTCCGCTTTCTCGGCCTACACACCGGAGCGTCTGTTCCACTTCAAATTTGGCCGATTTGTCGTTCTTGTGTGGCAATCCTCTACCTACTAAACCCGACCGGTCTGTCTCCATCTGTCTGTTTGTCTACCTGCCTATCTGTGTGCCCTTAAGACTTGCGTAACAGTAGCCATCTTTCAGTTCACACACACACGTCAACATTCTGATAACTGCATTCGCGAAACAAATAAACTCTCCTTCTCACAAAATGATCCTGGCCTTTGCCTCTTTGAATTGTCTTTTGCAGAATCCTTCCTCCCTCTTTGCCTCCACCTCAAGGAACCTGATATTCTGGAATGCGATTTGGTAATTTACACATCGAATAATAATTGAGCGTTTATTAAATCTTTGTACCAACTGATTTTTGGTGTATTTAGAGGTAAGAAGTTGTCCAGATTTATCGATGGTCTCATTCCCTAGCTCTTAACCAAGTAAGAATTTATGGAGAAATTAAGTTAATTTTGTGAAGTTTCAAAGAATATTGGAGTCTTTCTTATTGCAACTGACGAATACACCCAAAATGAGGTCAATTCTGTAACAGTCCATGTCTTTCAAGGTGTTTCTAAGCTTGGCAATTTGTGGGAAAAGACAGAACGCCTGTACTGCTTTTGGCTTTTGGGTTTGAAGGAGGGGCAAATTGGGATGAAGGTGATGAATGTTGAATAAGGTCACTTTAAGCGGACCTTAAACGGGTTCTTAGGAGTGGAGGAGGCACAAACCTGGGTGGTGATTTGAAGAAAACTTTAAGTCGGACCTCAAACAGTCGTTGTTGCCTTTAAAACCTTTGGACAACAAGGAATGCGACTAGAACCATGAGAAACGATCATTCTCACAGTATGCAAGAGTAAGGGGGTCGGCATGAAGAATGCCTCAAGAAATACCCAAGTGGTGGGTTTTATCTGCCCTAGGGAGACTATTCATCCCCTAAACGTGGCAGCCTCAGTCGGGTGATGTTGAGTGTAGTCAACTTGTATCCAAGTCCAGCCAATTCCCAAAGACGAGATTTCATTCATTCATTCCTCCCTCTTCAATTCGTTTCCTTGAACAAATGAAGCAAGACAACTGTTTCGTAGCACTGGGACTCGGGGGTTCATCTCTGATATGATAGACTATGGCCTTTTTAAATGGGGTTTACTGATCATCTTATGCATGGAAAATCTCGTCTTGATGCCGCAAATACCTCAGATTCATGCAAAAATGGGATTTGTGATTCACATTAATCATACCCAGATCACCGAGATGGGGATCTACACACTGGAAAGGAAAAAAATATATTGAGTTGTGAGAATACAGTGGATTTAGGGTACCTCTCGTCATCGGTAAATCGGTGTGCTTGTCAATAAGACAGAAGCTTGCTTTGCTTAATCGTGATGATCCAGAGAGCTGTTTTATTCCTTATTTCACACGCTCAAGTCTGCTTAATTAATTCAATTAAATTAACTGAATTTGTTACTTTCCTTCGAAAATAATAATAAAATTTACCTCATCTAATCATTTACTTAATTGATGTTTGATAGGCGTGTGTTTACAGCCGCATGAGCCATTCACACACACACCCAACGGTATTGCAAAGTGTCGCTAAAAACAGAGCAGCTTTTTGACATGCCTTATCCCCTCTCCTGCAAAATTTACTCCCAGTGTCACCTTTTTTTACTCCCTCACCTTCCCTTCGAAATGACCGTTTTGGTGAGGAAATTCAGCTGGTACTTGCCAAAAGTAGCGAATCCGGTTTACTGGCCCCTCCTAGGCAGCAGCGCATAGTTGTCAAAATCTGCAAATAGGTGTATCACAAAATCAGTATTTTCAATATTATGCCTTGTTTAATTTTAAAATCACTCCGTTTTGAAGGCGCCAAATTTGTTATTTTCATCAGCAAATGGGTGCTATTTCTCCATTTGGAATTGCCATGGCAGCATTGAAACTGCAGCTCTGTGAGGTCATGGCATGCCAATTGCGTAGCATAGGTATGAATTTGAATGGCACAGCCCGCATTGGTAAGAATCAAAGATAGACATTCTCACAAAAAACCGGTCTTATTTTTCCAACCATAAATATGAGACAATTTTAAACTTGTGTCGCGGATCCGTTGATGCACAATTCCTGCCCTTTTCTAGTCCTTCAGTCCTTCTTCATTGTTATTCTGAAGTTAGTCGAAGATTTTTAATGCCTTAGAGGATCTTTATAGAGAACTATGGTGTTACCATTGTGAAAGAGGGCTACAAAATGGTGTTCATGTGAAAACGAGACCAGCGGTTCTATGATTGTTAAAGAGAAATGTAACCACAGTAGCATTATCCGCAGTGGCAGGCGACAAGAGCGACTACTCGTGGCAGTCATCACTAATGTCGAACATCACCTCACAAGCTAGTTCAGAGACAAACACTCTGAATCACGCAACGGTAAGCAACACCCTTCCCGACGACAAAAACGTCCAATTCCCGAAGGGTGGCGCACAGTGGGCGCCAAGGCAGTTCTCTGCTACAATGGCGTAGTGAAATGGGCTGTTCTGAGTTGGCTAAGCCACACTCGTGAAGCACTCCATTCCAAAGCCTCCCACCTACCAGACAAACGCTGAGATAAGTCGAAAAGTATATTCAAAGTGGGAAACTACCAAGACCTCTGCACAGATTGCTGACAAATCCAGAAAAATA